CAAAAAGTTTTGGAGCTGAGGTTTCTTTTTCTTTTGAAATAATTACATACTCATAGGAAGTAGCAAAAACAGTACAAAGAGAGGGCACATGTGTCTCCTCCCAGCTTTCCCCAATGGTAACATCTTATGTGACTGTAGTACAGTACCCAAACCAGCAGACTGACACGTGGCAACCTGCAAACCTTTTTCAGATATCACCAGTTTCACATGCACAGTCTTGTGTGGAGCTGAATTTTGATAACTGAGTTCAATAGACAAAGAAGACGAATGAGATAAAACTAGAGATAAGCAAAGCCTTGCAGAGATGTTACTTTGAAGAAGTGTCCTCTTCCCTTATTCTTCCAGCTCTTAGCCATTTCGTATAATCCTAAGTAAATTTACCACACTTTTTTCCTCTCCAAGAGTTAGCTTGAAACCTCCAGTCGCAAATGCTACCCAAGCACTTACTCCTGTGCTCTTATTTCTGTGCTCTAAACATAGGCAATCCCCGTCCTAGAAATAATTTGTTCTTTGTAAGCTAGTTCGTAAATAAGTTGTTTGGAACCCAGAACAGATTTTTCCCCTGGAAATAGGGATTGTGGATTCCCAGGCCTATCTCCAGACCCACGTAGATTGTAATGTAGCTCATAATGTCTATACATTCAGTATTTATAATTTCCATATATGGTAGTATTGGTGGGATTGGCAAAGAAGAAGTGGGCTTTTGGAAGTTGGGGGGTGGAGGCTTTTGGCTTGGGGACCCTGTGCTGTGTCAGATAGATTTCCATCCTAACAGATACCATTCTTAATAGATACAATTCCACGCTAACTGCCACTGCATACAGTGAGTAAAATTAAAAGAAAATCCCTTTTTTGATACTGTTAACAAAATAAAATCTTTCCTAATTTAAGTACTTACCTATCAGTCCTATAAAAGATGATATTGGAAGTGCAAGACAGGGAGTTTATGAGGAAACTGGGTGGAGAAATACTAAAAAAGACCTTCTGGAAGGAAATACAGCAGCACAATGACAGTGGTTATCTCTAAGTGTGGAATTACCAATGGTTCATTCTGCTCTCTCCTTCCCATTCTCACTTTTCCTTGTACACTTCTGAATTTTTCCCCAGTTCTCTACAACTAGGGAGTATTGTTTTTATAATCAGAAAAATAAGAGTACTTCTGGAATGAAGAAGAGGCACACAACTTTTTAAAGCAGTTTCCAGTGCGGATCAAAGGAAGGGAGGTGGAACATGAGCAGTGTGCTCTTTGAGGTGGCTTCTTGGTCCAGCAGCATCATGTGTGGGAGCCTTCTGAGGACCACAGGTGCAAGGCACACAACTTTTTAAAGCAGTTTCCAGTGCGGATCAAAGGAAGGGAGGTGGAACATGAGCAGTGTGCTCCTTGAGGTGGCTTCTTGGTCCAGCAGCATCATGTGTGGGAGCCTTCTGAGGACCACAGGTGCACACACGATTCAGGTTAGCACAGGAGAGGTATCTATGCAGAGAAGGAACTGATGCCACCCTTTTCATTGATACCTTCGGGTAGGGTCCTGCCAGAGTCAAGAAAAGAGCCCAATTCCTGCTGGGCCACACATCAGTTTGAACCCTGAACTTACACCACCATTCTGAAGGAAGTTATACTGGAAACCTCACACTTCTATTAAGGAAATGTTGACAAACATCTGGGTCTCCTAGTTCTTGACCCAAACCTGGTGTCAGCAAGTGCACATCCTCAACAGGGGGGAGAAAGAAGGCAAGTACCCAGATACCTCTGAGTAATATCTTCCTGAAATTCATTTGTTTTCCTGGGAAGTCCTCATCCTGAATTTGGTCTCAGGATTGTGATCACAGATCCTTTCCCATTTCTGCCCAGAGCCTCAAACAGCAGTGACTGGGGCGTCCTGGGTCCTCTTTATGCTGTCCTAGATGGGATGTTAAAGCTATAAATACTTACTCCATGCCATTTAGATGTAGCTTACAGACCATAGGAGAACGTGTGACTTCTTCCTTTTTTTTTTTTTTTGGTATGAAACATTTCATTTATTGGTCTTTTGGGGGAATTTAATGCATAACAACTGTGATACAGCTGAGCCATAATCTCGTAGTTTTATCAGCATTAACTGGTTCATTTTCATGACACTGGTGAGGAATCAGCTCTTTCTGTAGAGGTTTGAGAGAAAAGCCTTCTGAGAAGAGTGCAAGCTCCTTTTGTGTATTTACAAAAGCTTTATTCGCTCTGTTAGCTTTTCATTATTCACAATGCTTATTTTCTTAAGATTAGTCGTGACTAGTTTTGCTTTGTTTTTAGTCTTAAAGTTGTTCTGGCTGGCTACGTGAAGCACATTCCTGGACTCCTGCCCTCTTCGTTTGTTCTCGGCCATTGTCTTTGACACCCGCGTGCAGCTGCCCAAGTTCCAGGTGGCGCCATCTAACCCGAGAGGGTTTGTCTTCTAATCTGTTCATCTCAATGATGAATTGCATTATTTGCAGTAATCAGCTTCTCCTTTTGTGGTTTTTGGATTTCCACTCTATGACAAGTTTGTAGAATATTTTAGGAAAATGTGATACTAATGCTTGTGCAATACGTCCTGTTTCTTCCTGTAGATACAATCATGCTGGCCTAAGCATGCCAATGCCAGAACAAGCTAAAATGCTTTACCTTGCTTATTCTTTATACTTTTTTTTTAAAACAAAAATTCCTGAGCCCTGTACAATATAGGTGCTTAGCGATTTGCATCTATTTCTTGAAAACTTTTAAAGTAAGAGAGGGTCGTTTTGAGCAAGTATGATACTTTACTACAGAGTAAAGATAATAAGGCTCCTACTTCAATTTAATTGAGATGAATAATAAACATTTCTTGCATGCTGGACCATGTAAATGCTGGTTGAGGCAAAAATGAGAAAGAAGCAGTTCCTGCCTTTACAGGGCACACGATCTAGTCAAAACAAAATGAAAAAATGATGAAAGCTTTTTAATGAACATCACTTTTGTCATTGTACCAAGGGAGGTCTGTCACATTCAGAGATACCACAGTGATTGCAGAGAACCTCTTGGCTGACTGGACGTGGGTTGTGGGAGGTTGTGGGTGGTGTGAAAGGTAGGGGGCCATATAAACATGGTTGCTTTCGAGAGTGGTAGAGGATGCTATTGATATTTATGCTTACGCAAGAGTCATAAACTGGGTCTCTTGCAGGCAAACTGGAAGTTATGGTGCCTTTAGTTAAAGGAGAAATCCCATGAGTCTCACTGGTAGGGAAGTGTACTGGTTTGCTAAGGCTGCCATAATCGGGTGTCTTAACCAACAGAAATTTTATTGTCTTGCGGTTCTGGAAGTTAGAAGTCTGAAATCAAGGTGTCAGAAGGGTTAATTCCTTCTGAAGGCTATGAAGGAAAAATTTGTTCCAGGCCTTTGTCCTTGGGCTACAGATGCTCTCTTCTCCCTGTGTCTCTTATTGTCTCCCCTCTAAGGTGTCTGTCTCTGTGTCTAAATTTTCCCTTTTAATAGGGAGGGACACCAAAAAAAACCAAAAAAAAAAAAAAAAAAAAACCAACACTCCCCCCCAAAAAAATAGGGACACCAGTCATATCAAATTAGAGCCCATCCTAATGACCTCATCTTAACTTGATTACATTTTAGTAGAGTTTGGGTGTGTTGCCCCCATCAAAACTCATGTGGAAATTTGATCCCCAATGTGGCAGTGCTGGAAGCTATTTGAGTCATGGGGGTGGATCCCTCATGAATGGATTAATGCTCTCCCTGGGGGAGGGGGGTAGTGAGTGAGTTCTCGCTCTATTAGTTCCCCTGAGAGCTGGTTGTTTCTAGGACTCTGGCACCTCCTCTCTCTCTCTTGCTTCCTCTCACCATGTGATCTGCTTGTACCCGCTAGCTGCTGCCACT